GCCGGTATGTACTGCAGGTTGCATCTTTACAGCCCATTGCAAGAAAGATGAAATTTATGTACGAAATTTACCTTTCCCCAGCTTACATTTGCAATACTAAATTGACAATTTCATTTGTTAATGAAGATTCTCTGCAATACTGCATTTTTTCTGATTACCTTAGTATTATTCATTCTGTAGAACTTTATTTGCTAGAAAATGAGATAAAAAATCACATTACCAGAAAAAAATTCTACAAAAATATTAAACATTTTTGAAAATTGTTGTTTCAGTGTTCTTATCAGTGATTTATCTGTTAACTGTAAAAATTCCATTAGTTTAACTTCAATTAATTCTGAGAATTTTACTCAACTACTTAACCTTGCATAACCGAGGACATCCCGTACCTATATTTCATTTCCCACACACATTTGGGAACCCTTTTTCCGCTTGCGGCGCTCCAGTTTCGCAAAGCCTGAAATCCACCGTCAGCCGCGGCGCGGCGCCCCAGAGCCAGAACGCCCGTTCCCGTGCGACGGCCCGGGAGGTCGCGAGGTGGCGCGCGGAGGGGCAGTCCTGGAGGGGGGCCCGCGTCTCCTCCGCGCTTTCATCCCTTCCGCCTCCCCCCCTTCCATGAATGTGCCTTTGCTTTTGACGCAGCCAGCGCCGCTTACGTTGTCGTTGCTGCGTGAACCGCCATGCCATTGTTGGCCACCTCCGTCCTGTTTTGCATGTGACAGTTCTCGCCATCGACGTCGTTTTTTTATTGTTATTTATTGTTTTATTTATGTATAATTGTATTTTATTTATTTATGTTTATTTTCGTTGTTCAACGTAAATGTCTTTTTAAGTTACGAGAAAAAGTTTACATAAATAACATCCAATACTTTTTTCGGCCAAGACATAAAATAGAAAAACAATTGTAGTGGTAGTTCTAGAAAGCGTTTTCTAAGTAGGTGAATATTTTGCTTATAGTCCATTATTACAAAAAGTGTAATACTATGTAAATAAGGAGGTTGCCATAAATCTTTTCTGTGCTAGGATAAAATTCTAGGAAAAAGTGTAGATGATTGGCCTAATTTAAAAGTTTGTGTCACAAGGCAAGAATTTAGTTGCCGATGACGCACACTGCGTTGCCGCTCTGTCACTGCCACCTTTGTAGTTTTCGTAGTCTCCGTCACGACTGTCAGTGATTCACGTCGTAAAATAATAATAGCAAACAAAATATGAAAGATAATCAAGTATTCTTTTGACTCTGACGTTGTGGCATTGTACCATTTTTGCTATTACTTTCATTGTCGTAATCATTTAGCCTGTCTCCATTATTGTCACCAAGATCGCCGCGGTCATTATTGTCCTCATAGTTTTCATAGCTAGTCTTGATGCTACAGTTGAGCGTCAAAAAGTCTACTCAGTCTTGACGATACACTAGTACCAATGATCAGGTTTATTGTGACAAAGTCGCATTCAATGGTATGTGTATTTAATTTGATCAATCTTAATCCCTTTCTACAAATAGATTACTCCTAACAGACAGTTACAAACTAGTTCAAACATTCTTCCTCATTGAATAGGTTTCTATGATACCAACACATGCACGTTCACCATTTCCTTGCGCAAACTCCTGTCGGCTGCCAACTCAGGTAAAACTTGTCCGAGGCTCAATCTCAATTTGTGGTGTCTGGACACCACAAAACCGTCGTTGCCATTACAAGACCTCCACTTTCTTCTTCTTCGAAGCAATGACTGTCGGCTTGTTCATCCTCGTGTCCTTTCTCACTGGAGCCCTAACATCATATTAGACGTAGCCAATTTTGGTATCGACCTAACTGTCGTAGAAGAGATCATCTAGACGTCGTTGTAGCTGTCGTCATCATCATAGCGTCGTTGATTTAAACATCGTAACATTAATCTGCTCGGTACATTTTCCCAGGGGCACCTCATCTTATCGCATTTCTATCGCATTTCCAATGTACAACAAGCATTCACTCGCCTCACTCACTGTTGTCGTCAAGTGAGCGCAAGCGATGGGCCGTTATCTCAGATGCCATGTCTTCGCAATCATCGTCAACACCATTTTTGCATCAACATCAAAATATTCAGTCCCACTGGCATCGTCGAAGTCGTTTTCAGCGAAAGCGGTGGATCAACTTTCATCAGATGTTGAAAACAGGTGGTCCTGGACCTACCTAGTCGCCGTCTCGCAAGACGCCGTCGACATACTAAACATTTTTACCGCGCATTTATCATCTTTTACCATCATCACCTTCATTTCCACTGCAACGTTACACCCTTGACTCCTCCGTTACCACTGTCACTCCAATCATCAGACAGAGTATATTTCTTTGACATCGTCTTCTCCTGTGCTGTTTCGTTTCAATCATATGTCGTTATCATCGTCATCGTCTTTACAGACGTCATCACAGTCACGGTCGCCATTTTTCACGCCGCAGTCCTCGTCATCTATCACCGTCATCTTCATTTTCTCTGCAACCTCAGCCGACCACGCAAGCTCCATTTTTTTAAATTTATTGTCTTTCTGTTCAACATACATGTTTTTAGGGTTGTGAATAGAAACACATATAACGTTTGATTTATTTCCTAACTGTGAGTACCCTGAATCAGTGCGTTAAATGTTTTGGTGTATTTTAATAATTTAAATTATTTTGGAAGTAAATTGAAGCTACAGAGAATGATCGTTGATATGGTTAATTGATGAAGTTCATACCATTTGAGGTCGATTTTCTGCTATTTTATGGTAGTCTGAATCTGTCTTCAGGGAAGCGAGAGTTTATGCGTAGATTCAGTTCTGCTGTGCGTGCAAGGTTGAATGTGGTGCTTCTGGAAGATTTGGAGAGTGATGAGAAGAAGTCTTCGGACATTTTGGTGATGTGTTTTTTTCCTATCGAGATTTGCAGTCCGTGGTGGATTTTATTGACCAAAATGAAGCAAGGGGCTTTAATTATAATTATTAGCACTTTATTTTGTGTAGTTTGTAAAATGTTTATATTAGATTTGCTTGCATTGTCCCATTTGCCATTTCCCACTGCCTAATTATGCATAAGTCATAGTTGTTTGAAATATAGACTTGTAAATTATCATTCCGGACTCTATTTTAAGGGAGGAATTTTGTGTTAATTAGTGTGTAAATGTGGGAAATTTTTGCTTGTGTTTTGGTTCCTGTTGTGTGGATTGGAGTTTTCCAGTTTCATGTCGTATCAAGTTGCATTCCTAGATACTTGGCCGGCTCTCCCCCGCCAACAACAACGTAACGTCATCGCCCTGAGCGGCGCGGCGCCGTGTTGTGTTGTGTGTTGGGGGCGGAAGCGCCGGGCCCGGCGGCGGCGGCGGCGACTCGCGTGCGGCGGCGTGGGAGCCCGGACGTCGCGTCGTGCGTTCTCCCAGGCCCCGCCCGCCCGCGCCGGCAACCCATTACCGAAGCGCCGATTGCGCGGAACGCAACGCATTTCCCCCGGGAGGCTGAGCGCGAGCGCGTTTGCACACACCTGGAGAGTCAATTGATTTATTCATATGTGGTTCGGGGCGCGTCGACTACGTAGGTCATTCTTCCCATGAGTATAGTGCATATTTTTATCTTGACCGGTGATTGTGACCTGCCGCCGCTAGTTGGCAAGATACGGCGTGGACTTATACGTCCGCTACCGGGGGTTTTTCTCCACCAGATGCCTCCCAGCAGCGGGTAACCCCTCCAGCCGGGACAAGCTCAAAGTTCCCCACTGGTCTCCCGGCTTGTGTGATAATGTAGTGAATGTGTGTAAGTAAGGGGTGAGGATACAAGGAAGAGGAAAGAAATATCGCGGAAGGTTCATGACCCATTTGTTAGAGTACTCCTCCTGCATTCGCCTGGTATTCGTCGGAGAAATCACGAAAACTACCGCTTAGAGAGCTGTCCACTAGAATTCTCCAAGCAGTGACTGAATTCAAGATAGCTATCTAGCTCTAGGACCAACGGGTTAGAGCCACTTTAGTGACATCAATTGATGCCCTGAGCCACCAAAGTCGGTCCGCAGAGTCAATATACAGGAGGACCAGAATAAATCTAACAAACTTATAGAATGTGTAGATTGAGCAAAGAGGATTACGTTTCGTCAATGAGATGAGAAAAATAATTTACTAAAGATAGGCATGTGATACTTCGCACGTAACCCTAGACTGGTGTTTGGCAGGTACATACGCTCTCATGGAATGACCTGCCCTCGGGCAATGACAAAATAGAATTTATTTCTGTTCAAATTCACGTTCAAATAAATTTATCAGCCGCTTGCATTAAACCTCATAGCCATCGCTCGAAGAAAATTTAATGTTGAACATCAACGGCAAAAACTACTATCACTACTACTACTACTATCATTGAATAACGAGGTTTTGAAAGATTGAAGATTTGTCAGATGAACCTGTTTATAGAATTCGGGCATTTAAAAAACTCGCTATCAAATACGAAACGATGTGCTTAAAATCCATGTTTAACTAGACGGAGAAAAAATTTTCAGGCGATTTCATGGGGTATTTTAATGACAATGTCAGAAGCACGCCGAAATGGTTAACATTGCATCATTTTATACTTCTATTAAGTCATGTCACGGGTGTTCTTTTAAGATATCTGAGTAATATAACATCGTTCACTGTTCGCTGTGTCCCTAATTTGCGTTTGTGTACACATATTTGAAGTCAATATACCAAACATCTGGGAGGATAAATCCACAGACAAAAGCAAAATATCTTGTGAAGCATGTGGACAAGTACCACCAGCGCATTGTCTCGTATGCCCTCCTCATCACACAGAGCAGCACATTGTGCATGGATTTGCCCACCCCCGCCGAGTATTCGCGCGTCGCTCGCACGTTGCTGCGAATACCCGTCCAGTCGCGTGGCGTGCGGTAATTGGTCGTTACTGGGCTATAAACGGCACTGCCCGCGTCCGCACCTCTCCATTTCCTCCCCGACCTCGCCCCGCTCCGCCTCCATTCACCCCCCCCTCTCCCCCTCGCCCCCTCCGCTCCTTATCCCCGTAGTAGATCTCCCACCGGGTGGTTGGCGGGGACGAGTGGGTTCAGAAATTGCGGAGCGCGGAGAGGGGGTTGACAGGGGTGCGGTGTGATCTGAATGGCGATGGCGGACATTGTGTCGCAGTAGTGGGTGGGGTTGGGGACGCGGCACACGACGAGGTGTGGCGGCGATGTTGAGGGGCGACAGCGGGTGTGGTGGTGGTGGTGTGGTGGGGTGGTGGTGGAGGCGGCGGCTGGCGGCGGCGTGCGGTTGCGCGGACGACGAGCGCTATCTGGGCGCGGACACGCGCCGCACAGCGAGCGGGGCGGCGGGGCGCGGGGCGGTGGGGGGTCGCGGACGGCGGGGGGAGCGGGCGGGTGGTGTTGTGGCGGGCCGGGTGAGGGCGCGACGCCTGGCTTAAAAGCGCGCGGGCGCCAGGGGCAGACAGGCAGTCCTTCCCTCGCAGCCCAGCCATGAGGACTACGGTGAGTACACAGCAACCACCACCACCACCTGCTCATCAAGCTTGTGATTCCCTTCTCGACTTTGATCTATCTTCTTAAGTTATATTTCATTTTTTTTAAGAAAAATTCTTAACGGTTGCTATTATTTATATTATTTTTATTTCATAGCGTTTTTTTCTATTTTGGTTTCTATTTCTCATTTATTGCAATTGTTTGATCTTCATTCGCGTTTCCAAAGTTCTTATTTATTAAGTTTCAACTAAATAAAAATCTAATTTTCATTCAATATCAATTCGTTGAAATTTCTATTAACACATTTTTACTATAACAATATTCCATAATACATTAAAAAAACATAGGTCAGATAGGCGTTAAGGTTGTAAATCAATGTTTTCTGTAGATATTGCAATATCTAGGCTAACAATTATATATTTCTCTCCCATGATTGCTTCAATTTAACCGAATTATTAAATATATCACACAAAATAATAAAATAATTGTAGAACATGCTGTGACATTATCGTTAATGTGGTGTCATTTCGCATTACTGAAAGAATTGTTTTTACTTTTGCTTCATTACAATCAATGTAATGACAACCAGTAATCAATAAATTATTATCAATACAATCATGTTAAATTCACACCTAAAATTAATTTATTGCATTAACTATTCAGTATACATTGTTTAGATTTGTTTGATTAACGGTAATTAAAAATAAAAATTAAATGCTCCATTAAAAACTGGATATATTTCGCACTTCTCAGGGAGAGAGAGCGCTCTCAAAACACTCAACTTCCTCTACTTTATAGAGGGCCTTTCCATCCGGTTATTTAATACCCGACTGAACTCGTATCCTGAAACTTTCTTTGCTTCTCGCGCCACGAAAACTCCTCGAAGGATATGAGCCTAATGTGAAACGGGAACCAATAGTATTTTTGTTTGTTCAACAACGTAGGCAAATTAACAATAATAAAATTTGCCTAACAATATCACAGTTGTAATACAATTATCCATATTTTAAAATAAATTTGTGGATTTGCTCAAAAACGTAAACTTAAAATTACCTCACGATTACGGAAATATATCTAGAATAAGGGAAATGTAGGGACTTGCATGCAGAAAATCGCACAGAATTTCGTCATGATATGAATAAGAAACCGGATGAGGGCAACGTAGGACCATTCTTACAAACCATGTCGTCTTTTGAAAATTTCTTCAGGCTAAAGAATCGCGTAAAGTGCATGTCACTGCGAAAACTAGCGTCATACAACGACAGCATTCTGTCCAAATGTGACACGGCTTTACTGTTACGACACACATTTTTTAAACACAGCCCCCATCCGTCGTCAGTAGACACGCGGGTAGACATCAAAGCTCGGAAAATACGCAATTGCCTAACAAGGCGGTTCTGAATACAATTGCACTAAGTGTCTCAAAGATTTCGCGTGGCAATTATATTTATTCACATTCAGGAGTTTTCTTTCGCTGTTACGAAACTAATATTAAAGAGAGAGCGTAGGCTTCCGCGGCCGGAGTCAATATTTACTTGGCTGTACGGGTGACGACGCGTCCATGGCGAAGGTGCCGACGTTTCGGTCGCCATTCTTCGGCCTTCTTCAGGGCGTATAGATATACCCGGCACCTTCGCCATGGACGCGGCGTCACCCGGACAACCTAGTAAATAATATTAAAGAGTAGTTTGATCTCAGTCAGTAAAGAGTAGTCAGTCTCTTTGTCCATGGAATTCCCAATTCATATTTCACAGAAATTAGAAATTTGCATTCAGCGGAAAAACGACTCGTCACAGTACACATTCACTGAGGTACTAGCGCCATGGTTGATTTATAATGTATATAATAAAACATGTTTAATGGAAAGACATTTGAACATTTATGATTGGTCGCTCAACCATAGACACGCCTAGTTAGTAGTCGTAAACTAGGTCATAGAGAGCTAAGACTTGTGTATTTGCAATTATTTGGATCATCTTGACACTTCTTATGATGGCTTTTTAATTACCTCTCAGACTAAAAACATTCGATTTACTACTGCAGTTGCTGAAGTTTCTAAGTTACTCCAGAAATCATGGTTCACTATTCAACAGAAGCATTTCCATTTTTCACAGCGTTTCCATTTCATTTTTATAATTTATACCTGCTTCGTTGTTTATGACGTTCAATATCAAGTATCCTTTGTCTCTTTCTCAATTTTCCCATTTTAAGATAGCAATAACGAGAAAAAGTGTCCTTTCACTGAGAGTTTGTTACTTGCACAGAAATTGCAAGTTTTACCTGTAGCCATGGACGTACCATTTTCATTCAGTTAGCATTTGGCCTCAGTCGAACATAAAAATAAGCACAAAAATGTACGTTAAGCACAACTAAGAATTTTTATACGAATCGTACCTCAGTGAGATACCTACATGGATTGTCTTCGATAACTTGAGTCTAAGTCGTGCTGAAACTAACCCGAAATAAAGTAATATCGATTTGATGTAAAAATCAGGAGAGCTTCTATGCATTTATGATGCGGACGTACTTAGAATATGACTAGTATAAATATTGTATTTAGGATTGAAACTTAACAAAATTGACATGCTATTGAAGAAAAATGTATTTTGTAAAACGTCTTAATGTTAAATACGAAATGAAAATCTCTCAATAAATTCATAATAGGTTCCTTTCAAAAGGGAAGAAAATCAGCTGGTCATTGGCAAATTAACAATCGTAAGATTGTGTTTTCAAACAATACGTATTATTTTTTCAACAGCCATTTCTATGGTAAATTGTGATTTTTTCCCTCAATTTAATTAAAAATTCAACCTCATCGTTTTAGAACAAAGCATATATGAGATTTTCACATTCTAATGCTGCATCGCCATTACATATAATGGTTAACGTATCCTTTTGCCCGAAAGACCGCTCTTCCAATTAGCAACCCGTGACTCGAGCGTTTCACGTCCGGGCGAGGGCACCGCGGATTTGCATACAAGCCTCGTTTTCCCGCTGCCCGCCCCACCGAGCCACTTTCGCGGTCCAAATTTTCCACGTGCGCGCCACGCAACGCTTCGCTTGGCCCACGCACCGCAACGCACCGCCACGCGCCGCAACACATCACAACGCACTGCGCCGCGCCGCGGAGGCTCGCATGCCAGGTGGATGGACGGCTAAATGGTTATCTAGGAAAATTGCCTTAAAATGCGTGGCTTTTTAAGATACAGTGTGAGATAAATGATTTATCAGATGAATAGAATGAGACATCCACTTTCATCAGCAGTATTAGAAACTGCATGAAACTTAGACAATTTAAAACCACAAATTATTCGCGCGAAAACGCTTCATAATGAGTTATATTTTTGAGAGCATTTTCTTTGATGAACAAGAAGTAATTGTTTTTTAAACTGATATTTCTTCATTTGCTTCGATTAGATCGACAATGGATCGTGTCAAAAGGATACAGTCCCAACCGAGTCCAGAAAATTTTATATTAATACAATGGTTGCAATGAAAAGGGTGGGGTGGAATGCTTTTCAGTATTAAACAGAGATTGTTCGTTTCTCAGTAAATGCTCCACACATACCAGTAAATGCTCCACACGCGACTTGAACACACTTACACGCTCATGTCTTACAATCGCTACTGTGCTATTCGGGTCGGAATTGTATTGAAATGCAAACGAAAACTTGATATTTACTGTTTAAAGTCAGATTAATCAGATTCCAGGTTCCAGAACAATGTTTTGTATACTATTTTTCATTTTTTGTTTGAAATTGTCAAGAAATTATATTGCAGCTAACTACCCAAAATTGGATTTGGATTTCACCATTCCCAACATGAAAAAACAGGCTTTTACCGAAACCGGCATAAACTAGAACTTGAAAAAACCAATAAACCTTACTCTTACGTATCTCAGCCCACTAGCTGTATATTAAAAAAGATTCTCTCTTAAAACATTTGCTTCAAAATTTCAGAAAATCGTTTTTGCCCCCTTTGCGCCCCGTTTCGGCCCACTGCGCGCGCCCAACGCACCGTGCGCGCGAGTCGGGAAGCGAAACGCACGCGCACGCGTGCGCTGTGGCCGTCGCGGTAATTGGAGGCGGAGAGAAACGCCACGCGCCCGCGGGCGAGCGAGACCGGCGTTCTGCGAGGGGGGGGGGCGATGAGCTCGTTAGCGGAAAGGAACACCGCACCGTGACGACGCACGCGGTCGTGAAATGAAACCGCCGCGGAAATTGGAATCATCGGCTGGAACATTTTTTCCATCTGCCTGCTCTCGTCTTTATGAGTTCCAGAATAAATGTTACAACTTCTAAAGTATTTGGGATGGTCGAAGATAATCACATTTTGCCAATGAACATGTAATGGTAACTTTCATTTAATGGTCACAAGGTTGCATTGTTAGGCAATGCAAGATGAACTAGTGTTTGGCTGGACAGTTCTCTCAGAGTCAGAGTCTTCGTATACTTGCTGAACACCAGTATGGATTGCCGATCAGGTACAAATTATAAATGTGTAATTTCGATGTATGGAATATCCAATTACATTTTCATTTTCAATAAATGGATCATCTTCGAGCCGCCTACAAACCTTTAGAAGTTTGTTACATTTATTTAGCGAAGTTCTTTATACGGCTTTTCCATCACATGGTTCGCTGAGTGATGTCAAGACGAGGAGTAGTGTGAAAGTGGGTTACGATTAGATCATTGGGTGTTACTAAGGCATGAAAGTGGTAAGGGAGTTCCAGAACATTCACGGGGTGGCTTTTATTTTTGGGATAAGGGAAATTCAATACTCTTTTGGGTAGTATTAAAAAAATAAAGTGGCAGGCCAAAAAGATCCCTCGAAACTTATTGGTGAAAAAACATCAAAAACATTTCGTTTATCCAAGTGCGAAAAATTATAACCGGGTATGCATGGATAATGGTAATTGCCAACGCGACTGTGAACTATTTGTATTTGCCATCAAGAAAATGCTAATAGTTTCTCCACTATAACTACTCATGTATGACAACAGCTGCATAATTACTTTCGAGGGTGAAATTTAGAATGTAACTTCATTGGGAAGAACAATCAGTGTAAGAGTTCTTAATTACGTTAAAAATTTTAGTACAAAGAACTGAGCGTATTTGTTTCATAGTTTCCTTGCAGAAAGCAGAATCATTTGATAATTTCTTTCACGGAAGTGCGTGTACAATGCCACTGCTCACATTTGTTTCGTAATTGCTGAGCAAAAATGTCTTACCATGTCGTTCACACCATAATACCTAATTACTTCCCTCCATTCTCACAGGTAACAGATCTTTTTTCCTGATACAGGTTATTTACTTTCTCTCTTATTACTTCCCCGCTTTCTCGTCATTTGCTTAGTGCATTCCTTGAGTCACATTGTTTCCGAGAACAATTATAATGCAGGTCTTTTGTCGTGCGATAACGTCCTAACTCATTAACATCCATTTGTTCTAGAGATTCTCGCCATTGCAGGATATAACGCTTGAGAAGTCCTTTAATACCTTAATTGCCTATTTCAGTCGCTAATGAGAATAAGAAGTCACATTCGTGAAGAAACAAGGTTAGACATTTAATATAGGTCTATGATACCCGCACCATATCACACTCATTACAGTACTTAGGGACACAATTATTTATAATGTTTCCGAAAATTGGGAAGTAAGGAACATGAACAGAACAAGGTACGCAATAAACGTAAATGACTGATTTTACTTCACGGACAGCAGACAACTTGAATTGGATACGCAGGGGACCCGATTTAATTGATGTTTTTCTTTTCCCCGTAAATAGATAACTGTGCGGAGACAAACACTTTCCAAATAATTTCAGTAATGCTTACATATTCAAGCCACCTATCCCTACATTAGATATTCAAGCCAAAGGTGGCACTAATGATACATTGAGATTTACCACTCGGAACGATTTAACCCATTAACTTCCATGGTCCCCAATTGGTGATCTCAGACCTTTTTCACTATTACGTGATATTGGGTACTTTAACTTACAAATTTTATTTCTTTAGTAGGTGGAAACACACTGAACAAAACATTGTCATTAATGAGCTATTCCTTCAAAGGTGAAAGTGTCACTATCAAACGGAGGACATGTGACTTGGTAGATTCTCTCATTGAGTACCTTTGACCTCGCTGTCACGTAACATGAAACTTGTTTGTGAATCATACATGCGTCATATGGGAGCCGCGAGAACTGCTTACGTTTGGAATAGCATATAGTGAGAGCAAGGAACAGGCTCATTGAGAGCAGTAATAAATGATTATGAGAAATTTTTCACTTTTCATACCAACTTTTTTGAATAATTTCCTTTACATTGCTTATGGGCACTGAGATCAGCAACGTATTGCTCATAATCGAGCTCTGAAAAATTGAAGTTGTATTTATATTTTATCTCCAGTAGAAAGTAATAGCTTTTTTAAAAGTTTCATTTAAGGACATACATTCAATAAAAGGTACTTAGATTTTTTCAAATTATCGGCATTTATTTTTAAAAAAAACTAAAAATCAGTAAGTATACATGATGTGGTCAAGAGTCGCCAAAATCATCACATTTTAAAATCAAAATCAATAAGTTTATTGAAGCAGAAACTTAAAAAAACTGACAATGACATGTAACAAACTCACATGAAATTTATCGTGCACCAAAATAAGCATAAATAGATAAAATACCACTCGATTGACCCTCCCCCCCCCAAACACCCTCTTCCCATCAGGAAAGCTGTATTAGAGTGTTCAAAAAGTTATCATTGTGTATTACGGTGTGAAAAATGATTCTTTGAGGCAATCTTTATATTTTTAGTTTTTAATGCCATAGAAAGCATCGTTTAGAAGTTATTGAACAATACAGATTCAAAAAAAATCCTTCAGAGTGGATTGCGGGTTGCATTTAACATGACTATATAGTTTCGTTCCTCAGAGCCGTCAAGTGAATTTTTTTTCATTATATTAGTAGTTATTCTGCTGTCCGGGGCTAATTCAACAAACCAGAGCTCATTAAAGAGTTGACCAGCCGTTCTGGAGTTATAAATGCTGTAACTAAGACGACTTTGTTGTATATGAGATGCTTGCTGTATCCGGTGTGGCGCGGTTGGCAGGGTTTGCAAGCCCGAGCGATGTGTGAAGTGTGTGTGTGTGGTGTTTGCGCGCAGACGCTGCTGTTGCTGGCCCTCGTGGCTGCGTGCGCTGCCGAGGGGGAGCAGGCCGCGCCGGCGCCGGAGGCCAAGGGGGAGAGCGCAGCGCAGCCCAGCAAGCGCGGCCTGCACGAGCAGCTGGCGCTCGGCTACGGCTCCTTCGGCCACTTCGGCTACGGCCACGGCGGCTCCCAGGGCGGCGGCGGCGGCGGCGGAGACGGCCACGGACACCACCACGTCAAGACCATCACCCTGACGGAGAAGGTGCCCTACCCCGTGCCCAAGCCCTACCCCGTGCCTTACACCGTGCACAAACCCGTGCCTTACACCGTGGAGAAGCCCGTGCCCTACGAGGTCAAGGTGCCCGTCGACAAGCCCTACCCGGTCCCTGTGGAGAAGCCCGTGCCCGTGCACATCACCAAGCACGTGCCCAAGCCGTACCCGGTGCCCGTGGACAACCCGGTGCCCGTGCACGTCACCGTCAACAAGGAGATCGGCGTGCCCTACGAGGTGAAGGTGCCGGTGCCCCAGCCCTACCCCGTGCACGTCGACAAGCCCTACCCGGTCTACGTGGAGAAGAAGGTGCCCGTGCCTCAGCCCTACCCGGTCGAAGTGAAGGTGCCCGTTCCCCAGCCGTACACCGTCCACGTCAAGGTCCCCGTCCACGTGCCCGTCGACAAGCCCTACCCCGTCCACGTCAAGGTCCCCGTCAACCGACCCTACGCCGTGCACGTGCCCAAGCCTTACCCCGTCACCGTCGAGAAGCACGTGCCTTACACCGTCGAAAAACCCGTTCCCTACCCGGTCAAGGTGCCCGTCGACAAACCTTACCCCGTCCACGTCCCCAAGCCCTACCCGGTCACCGTGGAGAAGCACGTGCCTTACCCCGTCGAGAAGCCCGTGCCGTACCCGGTCGAGAAGCCCGTGCCCTACCCGGTGAAGGTGCCGGTCGACAGGCCGTACACCGTGCACGTGCCCAAGCCGGTGCCGTACCCGGTGGAGAAGCCGTACCCGGTGACGGTGGAGAAGCCGTACCCGGTGCAGGTGAAGGTGCCCGTGGAGAAGCCGTACCCGGTGACCGTGGAGAAGCCCGTGCCGTATCCGGTGAAGGTGCCCATCGCCGTGCCCGTGAAGGACTCGCACTCGCACTACGGCGGCGGAGCGGAGCTGGCCTCCTACGGCCACCACCACTACCACCACTGAGAGCGCCGCCCCTCCTCCTCCCCGCCCCGCGCGGCGCCTCGCTCCGCCTCCGCCCCGCCCACCCTCACCCGGAGGGTGACGCGAAGCGCCCCGCGCTAGTCTGTTGACCTGTGTGTGATTTGTTTTTACCTGTTTTGCTCCGCGCTCTGCTGGTGTGTGTTATCGCGTTACACTGTTGTTTTTGCTCTGCAATAAACTTGCGTTCTTTCATTTGACACGCTTTTTTTATTCCCGGTTCCGCATCGCCCCTTTCCCGACTATCCTGCCCTAGCGCTGTGTGAACGAGATCCGGGAAGGTGTTACTAGGCAGCGCAGGGGAGGTTCCCAGGGGAATCTTTCTCCTGGGATGTACATCCTTGGGAACTTTCCATCGAGAGATACTGGTGGGGTCATTTACAAGTGAGATCACTGTAAACAAACGCACTGACAAAATGAGTGCAAGAACGTAACTTACAGTATTACCAGCAGTGGCCAAGCAGTAGCCGTCAAGTGGTCCCTTCTTTTAGTAATTTCTCTACGACTTAGTTTGGGAATGTATTAAAATGGAAGGTCATTCATATAAAAAGGAATTTAAATGCAATAACTATAAGAGCATTTGCACCACGTGTGCTTTAATTTAACATAATCAAACAAGTGCACTTTTCTTTTAGCAATTGGGATGAGTACTCTGATAGCAATGATCTGATGTAACGAGCTGTACAGTGATTACGTTTTCTCTCACGTACACCAAACGAAACAGTTATTGCAATTCTAATTACTCCTAATGATGATTGCCACCTCTTCACCGCTCGATTGATCCTGGCATAGATCTTCTGCACCCTGAAGAGTCGACACTGAGCTACTACGTGACATTTCACTTCAAATAATTTTAAAATTACGGTCACGCCGTTAGCTACGAAATTTCTTCTGAACGAAGTTATTATCCGAGAGAGCGACCTCACAGACCGGATCAAGGAAGTGTTCAATTCTGCATTCCCTTCTACATTGTACGAACAAGAACCAGAGATGGGCGCCGTAAACCTGTATAAAAGTCGTGAACTCACCCTTGTAGTCGGAGGTTCTCCTCGGGCAGGTGGCGAAAGCGTTCGTAGCAACACACGCCATCAAACCAGACTCAACTGCGTTCTCGGTACTTCCTTTCGCAAATAGCCCACAGCAAGTGAGTGGTATGGCCCTTCCTGAACCAGGAACCGCGGTTCGAATTCCTCTGAATTCGCTGGGGCAGAAACAGGTTTGCAATATTATTTTATTGTTGTTGTTTATTTTATGACAGATTTTTCTTCCAAACTTTCTTAAGACTAAAAAAAAAATTTAAAAAGAGCCGAAAATGCTTTTATGGGTCAATAACAGAGACAAATACGGGGTATGATACAGAAAGAAAATTGAGGTGGGTAGAAAGGCACTCCGGAAAGCACTCTTCTCCTTCTGGAATACATCATCGGTTCTTTGCCTCTCCATTGGACCATTTTGAGGCAATCCACGGCACACTGGCGGCTAAGTGAGTTTTGAATTTCCGTGTAGAATTCTCAGAGCAAATATAATCGCTCTGACGGTTGTTACCGGTGCGCAAAAAACAGGAAAGTCCGACTCCCGCGATATAGAAAAGATATCTTTGAATTTCCAATTTTTTGTCAGTCCACAGACATCGAATTGATAACATTGCTGTCCTTCTGTTTCCAGAGTGTCAAATTTCTCCCGTTAGTTAATTGCGCCGACTAAGGGTTATCTCCGTCTGTACTGCACAATGCTTAGACGCCGGAACAAGCCAACGTGACGGATCAAACCCCACACTTCGGCCCTTTCGATTCTCCATCCAAGTTCCGAATTCCTTTCGGCAGTTCCGTCTCCCGATCGCGCTTTCCCCGGTCCTCTGGCAGACCGCTTCCCCGGCGCGCGGAGCCAATGTCACGGGCGCGCTTTCCCCGTGTCGCTGCGTCGGGGCTCGAACCCCGCGCGGTGAAAGCGTCGGCGCCGTTAACGCGCCCCCCGGAGGCTGCCTCCCCCCCCCCTCGCGAGGACGACGCCTCTGAGCGAACGAGCGCAGCGCCCCGGGCGCGACGACGGGCGCCGCTGGAAGCTTCCGCAAGGCGCTGCCGGGCTTTCCTTTTTAAGATGGAGCATTCTAGAGCAGCGCCTCCCCATTGGGACCACATCGCGCCAAAAGAAGTATCCGTATACTGCCTATATTAGGACAACAAATCCTGATATATCATGCAAAGAAAAATTATGCATAAAATATGGTGGAGATTTGAATTAAAAATGCGTTTTTTTTCTTTGAATTTCTCTTTTTTGCTTATTTATGAACTACGACAAAATATAGAGAAATTATACGATGATACAGATCATTTGTGCTAGTGGTTGATCCCAATTAGTCCGGGTAATTGATATTCCGCTGTATTTATTTTAAAACTTTGGCCCCACAAATTTATACTAAATATAATTCCAATGCCAATTCGTAGACATTTAATTCATAAGAATTATTGAAGAATATTCTCAGAGACACGAGATAAAACATTACAATAAAAATATAGCAAACAATTTAACGGTTATAAATAAAATATTGCAAAAGATTTTCAAACCTAAATCTGGAGATACAATGAATGTAGGTTTTCTGTCTCCAGTCATTTGAGATTTGTATGACAATTAATGCTCACAATAGAGGAAAATGTGTTTTTTTTCCTTTTTGAAATACATTTCACAAGTTATAATCCTAAGTGATGAAACATAAAAATATTTCAAAACGTACATAAACTAAAATGAGGCCGTAAAACGGAAATTAAAATTTTTGTACGGTCATGGGAAACATAAGTCGCATTCGTCTCATTTTTTGTTATAAAGAGGATGAACTTAGAAGAATCTTCAAAGAAAATAAGACGTGCGGGACAAAATATACACATTGATCTCTTATTTCAAACAAAAGTTTACCCCCCTCCCCAAAACGCAAACATAATTAATCTTTCCATGCAACAAAAAATAACTTTCAGAGGTAAATTTTAATTAGAACAAATTTTTTAAAATTTTTTTATGAAAAACAATTTTGTGGTTTCATTCAAGTGTGGGTACAAGGCAAGTTACCCGAACTGTTCCCCTTCCAGTTGCCTCTGTCTAAATAATCAAGTATTTCTTCAACACCATAAAAATATGTATAGAAATGTCTTATTCTCTAGCAATAATTGTCGGCAATTAATACGAGTAATATAATTTTATAATATAACATAATATTTTTATTTTTATTATGTTTTAATACATTTATAATGAATGCAATGAAATATATTATAGTTATATTTCATTTTTACTATTACGGGGCTCCATACTTTGCTCAGGCTTGTCCATTACGACATCAGTATCACCCTGCCAACTTCACGCAAATGAACCGCATCGATTGCCACACTCAGCCAATGGCCGGTTGAAGTGTCGTGGAACATGAAACCGATTCAGCCAGCCACCGGGGGGGGGGGGTTGCATCAGAAGGGGAGGCATCGCTGGTGGGCCTCGAGGTGTCGAGAGGAAGCGGCGTCGTCGCCCGAGGGGATCGGCGTCACGCCCCAGCGACGCCGCCCACTTCACACTCTCGCCGCACCCGGAGAGAGCGCCGTGCCAAGGCACAGGGGCAGAGAGACAGACAGAGAGAGAGAGAGAGAGCGAAGGAACAGGGAGAGAGGGAGAGCAGAAAGAGAGGGAGAGCAAAGGGACAGGGGGAGATGGTGGGAAGAAGGGTGGAAGAGGGGAGAAGAGTGGGAAAGGGAGGAGAGAGGGCAGGAGAGAGAAAATGAACTAAAGAAAGAAGAAAGAGAGTGACACGGAGGGAGACAGTGACACGGAGGGAGAGAGTGACAAGTATGGAGAGTGACAAGGAGGAAGAGTGGAAAGGAGGGAGAGCGAGAAGGAGGGAGTCAGAAAGGGGAGTGATGAGGGAGAGCTAGAAGGATTGAAAGTAAGGAGAGCGAAGATGGATAGCGAATAGGAGGGAGATCGAGGAAGAATAGAGAGTAGGAAGGAGAGCGAGAAGTAAGAAGGGAGAAAGATGGCAGATATGAAGGGATGGAGGAGGAGAAGGGAGAGAGGGAGAAAGAGAACTAAAACTTTCAGGCTTTTTTAAAGTTGCTGCATACCACATATTTAAGATTTTACAAATGATATGGAATAAAATACAAAGAAAGCAAGAAGGAAACAAAATATACTCACACAATATTTGAATTCTTAAGATTCATAAGTGTTCAAGTACTAAAATAAGAATATCTCACTTTATAATTTTTTATAGATCAATGTGCCCAGGCATTTAAAATTCACAAAGTATTAGGAAACTACTGCAAGCCATATTTGTATCAACAAATTTCAAGAGATAGTTCTCGATCGATCTTCCGCAACTGGTTTATTGGTCTTTTCATTGTTTGCTATATACCTTGCACTTGGCTCATAGTTTTTTATGTATTTAAACGCTTCAATGAATTGTCATTGCAAAAACACAAAATATAATTTGGATCTACATGGACACTCATTCATCGACAACTGACGAGTATGTGGACAATTAATGGACTACATATTTTTTAATCCAATCATGAGTTTGTATTATATATGTATTTTCCTAGAATGTTTTTCTTTAACGTTTCTGTATCAGCTATGTACCTCTCTTTGTTAAAAGTGCCTTTTGTTATGTACAGTATAATATAAGACATAGCATACATCCTAGCAGGATAACAAAGAGCCCATAAACTCGCATTGAGGGAGGACAGCGGGTAGTAAGGGGCAGGACGGCAGGGCGATGCGGCTCGCGGCCCAGCTGTGACCGGCATTTCCTCGCGCGGCCGATCGGCCCATTCTGTGACGCCACCGCGCGGCGACCGTGACAGAGAAGCGTTGCGGAACGCGCACCCGCCATCTCTCCTTATCGACGTTACCGCAGACACGCGCGCCGTCAGCAATGGACACCCGGAGAAAGTAGACGTGGGAACTGTTATTACGACGAAACTCATTAACTGGGCTGA